CAACATGGGTACATTGTGTGAAGCTCATTTCTGGCGTCCCCCGCCGTGATATTGCTGGAATATTGCTCAAAGCGGCGTAAAACCAAACTCACTCAATTGGTTAAAGGTTAAATAGTTATTCGTGATCACTACATATTTAAAGCTTAGATGCAACAAACAAAATAAACTTAATTAAAACCCAATTATCACTTATTCATGACATATAATATACATTGCTGATTATGAAAGAAAACAAATAATCAAAATTATAAACGTACAATCGCAATCAAAAGTGCAATATTTTGAACTTGGGTTTACTACCCTCAAAACGAAGCACCCGGGATACCAAACCCAGTCAGAGCAGGTGGGCGTGCCGCTAAGTGTAGTGAAGTCTTTTATTGGCTGGTTCACTTGCCGATAGGCTCAGGGCTCTTTGTGTGTGTATAAGCATCTCGGTTCAAGCCGCACGAACCTATTCACGGAATTTAGCGCAGCACAGCTGTTGAAATCACTTTTCACCCCACCTGGGTTTTTTTTAGTGAATCGTTTGAACTCCGATTTCACGTTATTTTTTTCATCATGTTATTGTTCAACTTTATAAATTGAATTTGCACTTTTGATAATTTATTACTATAAGCCCATACCGAAAGGCAACGGAATCTGCAAAGTTGTGTTTTTGCGTTCCATGTAAGCTTTAAGAAAGAAGTGTTTTTACTAAAATTTGGTTGTTATTTATGAAAGCGAGATATGTGAAATGGAAGATATCAATGTTAGGCAGATAATAGTCAACACTTATATGTTTCATTTGAGGTCACTGTGTCCCCTGTCACTGTCATGATAATTCACAACATCAACATGGTCAAAACATATCAAAGAATTTATTTTGTTATCATATCACTGAATATCATGACTGATACATCAACTGATAACTCGTTTTTGTATTTACCTCATAGTGGTATCATTGCTGCCTTATTGGTAATAACATTGAGTTCTATAATAATGTGAGTACTTCTGCTAACTTTGATACACAAGGCGTATGCTCAAACACAAATATCACATCATGTGCAGAATCAAACTTGCTGCTTAAGTCTACCAAGCAAACACCTTAACATCTGAACTATGCATGGTTAGTCCATCAGGAAGTGGGTGAGTGGTGATCTGGGAAGTCAGTAAGACCTGTTTACCAAGTTTACCAAGTTTGTCAGGTTTGAAATGACTGATTGCAGGATTAATCTGTGAGGAATGCTTGTGTCGTGCTTGTGCTGACTTATTCATCACTGCTGTATGGTTTGATGGAGTGTCTGGTTCATCTCCGGCCACCGCCGTGATCATCAATATACCTCCATGTGGCAGATGGAGTCGAAGAAGCTGCCGTTCAGTCCATCAATGTTGCATTACCTGTGGCGGGATCTGCCCACTGCAGATGAAGAAGAGGAAACTTGACAACTAGAAACTAGGCTAAACCTCGACTCAGTGTAGTTCCATTTTCTAATAGCAGTTATGGAGGCATGGGTCACACTGTTGTCTGAGTTGCAGTTGTCTGTGCAGAGTTGTGTCCCTTGGCTATGGGTTTGAATTCAAGATAACGCTGATTATTTTTCTAAGTTTGATTGTGGCAAAGTGGTCTTAGATAAACATCACATTGTGCTTTTCTCCCGTGTGAGGCTGACACACCCTGATATGATTGAAATACTGCCCAAAGCAGACTTAAACACAACTCACTCACTCACTCACTGTGTCATAGCTGAGCAGCATAACCAATAATGGATGGTTGTTTAGTTTGATGTTAGATACAAATCTGACTTCCTTAAGTTTGAGGGTTAATGGTCTTCTCTCATACAGTGCATTTTTTCGTTAATAAATAACAAATTTAGCTGTCATAGTTTTTATGATAAATGGCCCTTCATCATAGTTGATTGAACTACAGTCAACTCACCAGCTATGATGCAGCACAACCTTTTTGTAATTATTTTGAAATAGGATTACCTTGATGCAAGAATGAGAAAGAAAACAGCATTTTAACACGTTCATGCTTTCACAATTACATTTTGGGGTAAGTGAGGGTTCAAAACTGCTGTTCCGTACAATCTTTCAATTTGTGGGAATAACTTTGTAACAAGTTTATTGATTCACTTTTATTGGAAGCAAAACATAAGAGCCTAAGAAGATGTATCATGTGACTTTGTAAAGGCAATTTAGATTAAGATATGGGAGGTCACACTCAATGTCTGTGCTTCAGTAAAATACAGTGGATTGTTTGTCACTGGTGAGAGGTGATTCAGTGTGACTAGTGTTCTTGGTTCCAGTGATTGGGTGAGACCAATGTTCTTGGTTCCAGTGATTCAGTGTGACCAACATTCATGGTTCCAGTGATTCAGTGATTGTTCAGTGATTCAGTGTGACCAATGTTCTTGGTTCCAGTGTTCAGTGTGACCAGTGAGTGATCAGTGTGACCAGTGTTCTTGGTTCCAGTGATTCAGTGTGACCAATGTTCTTGGTTCCAGTGATTCAGTGTGACCAATGTTCTTGGTTCCAGTGATTCAGTGTGACCAATGTTCTTGGTTCCAGTGATTCAGTGTGACCAATGTTCTTGGTTCCAGTGATTCAGTGTGACCAATGTTCTTGGTTCCAGTGATTCAGTGTGACCAATGTTCTTTCCAGGTTCCAGTGATTCAGTGTGACCAATGTTCTTGGTTCCAGTGATTCAGTGTGACCAATGTTCTTCCAGTGATTCAGTGTGACCAATTTCATTCCAGTGATTCAGTGTGACCAGTGTTCTTGGTTCCAGTGATTCAGTGTGACCAATGTTCTTGGTTCCAGTGATTCAGTGTGACTTGGTTCCAGTGATTCATTCTTGGTTCCAGTGATTCAGTGTGACCAATGTTCTTGGTTCCAGTGATTCAGTGTGACCAATGTTCTTGGTTCCAGTGATTCAGTGTGACCAACATTGGTTCCAGTGATTCAGTGTTCCAGTGATTCAGTGTGACCAGTGTTCATGGTTCCAGTGATTCAGTGTGACCAATGTTCTTGGTTCCAGTGATTCAGTGTGACCAATGTTCTTGGTTCCAGTGATTCAGTGTGACCAATGTTCTTGGTTCCAGTGATTCAGTGTGACCAATGTTCTTGGTTCCAGTGATTCAGTTCTTGGTTCCAATGTGACCAATGTTCATGGTTCCAGTGATTCAGTGTGACCAATGTTCTTGGTTCCAGTGATTCATGTTCCAGTGACCAGTGTTCATGGTTCCAGTGATTCAGTGTGACCAATGTTCTTGGTTCCAGTGATTCAGTGTGACCAATGTTCTTGGTTCCCAGTGTTCATGTGACCAGTGTGACCATTGTTCTTGGTTCCAGTGATTCAGTGTGACCAACATTCTTGGTTCCAGTGATTCAGTGTGACCAATGTTCTTGGTTCCAGTGATTCAGTGTGACCAGTGTTCTTGGTTCCAGTGATTCAGTGTGACCAACATTCTTGGTTCCAGTGATTCAGTGTGACCAATGTTCTTGGTTCCAGTGATTCAGTGTGACCAATGTTCTTGGTTCCAGTGATTCAGTGTGACCAATGTTCTTGGTTCCAGTGATTCAGTGTGACCAATGTTCTTGGTTCCAGTGATTCAGTGTGACCAATGTTCTTGGTTCCAGTGATTCAGTGTGACCAATGTTCTTGGTTCCAGTGATTCAGTGTGACCAATGTTCTTGGTTCCAGTGATTCAGTGTGACCAATGTTCTTGGTTCCAGTGATTGTTCTTGGTTCCAGTGATTCAGTGTGACCAATGTTCTTGGTTCCAGTGATTGGGTGAGACCAAAGTTCTTGGTTCCAGTGATTGGGTGAGACCAATGTTCTTGGTTCCAGTGATTCAGTGTGACCAATGTTCTTGGTTCCAGTGATTCAGTATGTCCAATGTTCTTGGTTCAGGTCATACAATGTGGCAGCATCAGCATCTTTCTGACAAAAAACACTCAGTGTCAAGTGAAAGAATGACACTTAGATAGGACCCACTTTGAACATGACACAAAGTAAGACTTAAGATTAAACATCACACAGACATCTAGATTGTGAGGATTTTAGTTGTAATTGTAATTGTGCCATTGTGTCTAGTCAAACAGATCTGTAAAGCTGTAAAGGAAGACTTTAATACGTCTGGAAACGAAAAATATGAAGGTGTGTGGCTGGATCTGTAATTCTCGTTTGTTTTGTTTTGTTTGTTTGTTGCTTAACGCCGCACTCAGCAGTATTCCAGCTTTATGGCGGCGGTCTATAAACAATCGAGTCTGGACCAGACAATCCAGTGATCAACACCATGAGCATCAATCTACACAATTGGGATATGATGACATCTGTCATGAGCCTATCCATCCAATCCTGTTAGTCACCTCTTACGACAAGCATGTGTTGCTGAAGAGTAATTCTAATATGGATTGTCACGGGTTCTGTAATTCTCAATCAACTACATGATATCTGACACTGATTATGCTTCTGTACAAGTTATGCTTCAGTGGTGATAGTAGCGGCGGATTGTTGTCTTGTGACAAGGAGTGACTGACTGAGTTTGGTTTTACGCCGCTTTTAGCAATATTCCAACAACATCATATAATTGGGACAAAACATAGAAATGGGCTTCACATTGTACCCATGTGGGATTCACAACCTGGGTCTTCGGAGTGACGAGCCATCGCTTTAACCACTAGACTACCCCACAGCCCCCTTGACGACAAGGAGTGATGAAGAAGTTGTGATTGCTTCTCCAGATAATCAGCATAGACTCTCCTTAAATCTTCAGTGTTCACCTCCATTGTTTCCTGTTTGCTGGTGTTTTGCTGGTTAAATGTGATTTTGATCAGAAATTGAGATCCTGCTGGTTTGTGTCACTAGCATTAAATCTGTTGAATTAGATACGATTACAATTACCTTTCATTGCTATGATATAATTGGCTGAAATAATGCTGATGCAAAGTTCAGTTTTATCGTATGATTAACTTTCTGTACAACCTGCAGATTCTAACTGTTGCCGCTCTTGTTGCAGAGTCAGAGTGGAAGCTGTTGTTGATCCGACAGCGCACCCTCGTGGGGACCCTGGCCAAGGAACACAACATCTATAAGATCAACAAGATTGCAGTTCTGTCTCTGTCAAACTCTGACCCCACCGACCTTGACCTTGAGGTGAGATGTGCAACTGTGGATGCTTGTCTGCAAATCCATATTCACCAAATTATCAGTTGTGTGTATGCAGTGAAATTATATTCATATCATAGTCAATATATTCTGTTGGGACATTCTTTTCACTTGCAAAGTGATTAAAAGAGCACAATTACCAAGATGGCCCTTTTTGTCCTTTTTTTTAAATCCTGAAAAGAGTGAATTTCTGGAGTAGAAGTCAGTCTTATTTCACCTATATACTTTTATTAGATAAACTGTGTTTTTGTTCCATGAATTTCAAAGAAGCAAAATAGAGAGAAAATAGTTGACAAAACGTCTTTGAGTAGTCAGTTATCCTTGTTCATTTATTGATTTGAGTTATACAATATATTGAATAAATATATCATGTATTATACAGAGTTATTTATGCGTTGGTAGAACTTGGATTCAGATATCCAGAAACTTGTTCATCTGGAAAATATTGGAGAAAATGCCCATATAAGCTTGACTGCCCTTGATATACAGTCAGTGAGAATTCAAGATATCACTTAATCATAGGCAGAATCCAAAAACGGATTGTTGTTTCTCTTCCACCATGACAGTACGTACAATGACATTTCATATTTATTACATATTTTTTCCTAATTAGACATCATCAATCAAGTGCCAGGTTCTGGTCATGAAAGAAACAAACCATGATTATATTTCAAACAAAACGACAACCATTTAATTACTATAATGTTACAAAGATCTCATTTGGGATATTCTTTAGAGTCTTTCAAATGTTTTACGATAATTTGAGAAGTCGGAGGTCAATCAGTCCTGTTATACGGAATTCAGAGAGGATTACAAAATTCGCCTAAGCTCGCAGTATTGCACAGCTGTATTGGTATCGTAAGATTAAATGGGTATGTAATAATTTGTAAAACAGCTATTACAAGTAGTTATCGTTACAGCTCTGTAAGAAACATCATTTTGGAATCAAGAAACCAGAACGGATCACGCAGGCCCGGGGACGAACAGACTCTCTCACTACAGAAAACATGGAATACCATCAAATCTGCCGCAGAAAATGTCAAAATAAAAAAGGTAATCAGTGTTTCCTTTATCCGGTATATACCAGACTTTGACCAGTACAAAGTAATAATGTCCGGTAATTTCAAAGGCTGTTGGTCATCCTGTCCGGCAAATTTTAAAATAAAAATAAATTCTAATTACCTCTCAATTTTATTTCTCCTCGTAAAAGTTTACGCTTTTCACAAGGACATCGAGGTGTTGTCATATAAAAATTAGCAGTTTTGTGAAAAAAACTGGTTAAAAGTGCATTTTTGATTGGTTGTAAGGGTGCAAGGTCTCGCACAAAATGAAAAGTGTGATCACTTGGCTAGTAAAATGTGCAAATGACTGGTATTTGAAATATTAGCCAGTCACAATGTCCAGCTGTAAAAAATGCCTGCGGAATCACTGGGTAATGACTCATAATATTGTACCTAGAGTACTGGTTCTGAACTTATATGGCTCTTGCTTAATATGTGAATATATTGACATAAATTTATGTGACAGAAGTTTGGTTAATCGGTTTCTTGCATACTTAAATTTTATTGTTTAATTTTCTTCAGGGATATTAAATTTAAGTAGTTTGCTTCAAGTTGACTGAAATTTTATTGTTTAATTTTCTTCAGGGATATTAAATTTAAGTTGTTTGCTTCAAGTTGACTGAAATTTTATTGGTTAATTTTCTTCAGGGATATTAAATTTAAGTAGTTTGCTTCAAGTTGACTGAAATTTTATTGGTTAATTTGCTTAAGGATTCTGAAATTTGATTTATTGATTAAGATTTGACTCTGACATTCTGTTTATCATTCAAAATCATTCTTTAAACTTTTTAAGTTTCTAAGGAGTAAAATCTAGTGGCTTGAGTGTATGTAGTACAGCAAACCAGCGTCAGTTGTAGAGAGATAAGTGACATTTGGTTGTTATGTCATGGTAACCGTGACATCACTATGATCTTCAAAGCCTTGTGATGTAGTTTCATTGTAGCGATATCTCCAGGATACAGGAGGAAGAGTGTGTGAAAAAATTGCTTTCTCGTTGCCAAGGTGGTTGTCTTGCATTGGTATTTTTGGGTGACGACAACAGATTCATTCATGAGAAATACCCTGCTCATAAACTGTAAATGTACCAGCTAGATAGGCCTCTTGATCCTATGTCATGACACTGAGGCAAAGAATATTTGGCCACAGACAGGTCTTTCTCCTGTGAATGCATAGGACCAGATTCAGTAATACTCAGCTCGGGTTTAGATTTTTAGATGCATTGTATTGTAAGTCCATGTTTGAGTGTCACAATTGTAAAATGTTCTCATCACTGTATTGAACTGGTCCTTGCTGGAACAGGAACCTCAAGGCATCTCCACCAGACCATTACCAGTCTATGGTTATCACAGGAGGTTCCCCAGCATTGTCTGGTTGTATACCAGCAAGACTTTCATGGACAACAGTTTCTTATTGTTTGTAGTGGTGAGGTGAGGTGAAATTGGGTTTAACGTCGTGCTTGAGAATATTTCGCTCATATGACGACATTCATGCGTGTGTATGTGTATGTGCGGCTGCTTGTACTAGCCCAGACTGAAGCTGGTTTTATAGTGCTAGCCCACTGAGATACCACGCCGCAGTGATGCATGAATACCCCATTCAGACACATTATACTGACTCCAAGCCGACCAGTCCTTGTTGTACCCATTAATGCAGAACGCCAGGCAGGGACCAACAAGTACCATATTTTAGCGTCTTTTGGTATGACATGGTCGGGGATTGAACCCGCGACCTTCCGCTCTCTGGGCGGACACTCTAACCACTACACCATGGAGGCGGTCTGTGTTTGTAGTGGCAGTTGGTGGACTTGTGATAAAGTGTCAAATTGATAAAACCTATAGCATGATTAGCTCTTCCAAAATGTTGCTCTATGCAATAAAACAGAAATTATTATCCATAAAGTCGAATGCTTTATTAATAACTTCTTTGTCTTTTATCAGAGCGATGAAGGCCAAGAAGTACCCCAGAATTTTATTTTAAACAACAAAGAAATTATTGTCCTCAACAGTTGCATGTCTGGTAGTCGACCACCACAGATCACGACAGCGCCTCCACTAGTCTGGCCAAAGATTTAGTTATTCACAACCTGCTATTATAGAGCTGAAATATTTCAGACTCCCGTGTTTAACAGAAATTCAATCACCCACTGTCAATTTTCCAAACAGTTTGTGACTAGAATATGTGTGATGAGTATTCACAGCAACAAACATCAAAGATCCTTTTATGTCAGAATTTTGTCATTACAACTTGCACTGCAAAAATTGTATCCTTCCTTTTAATCAACTTTCAGGAAATTGTTCTTCAGATGAAAGCTCAACATTATTTTTCCTTATCCTGACTCATGCTCTTTTTGCTTGTCTTCTTCTTCTTGCGAACATAGTGGAACACTTGTATCTCCCTAATTGAAGCTCCCTTCAATTTAAAATCACTAATTAGTATTCACCACGAGTTACCTCCTTTCCACAAGCGCGGGGCTTAGCACCCTCTACCCATGTGCCTCACTCTCTCCTTCTTCACCCAGTGAGCTGGACGTGAGAGCTTGTGTCTCCGACACTATATCCTTTGATTATATTTAGTTAGTTACCTCGCATAGACATCTATAGAGGTTTAGCTAGTATCCTTCAACGATTATATATTGATATTTAGTCGCTTTTCTACAGTTTATTCACGGACGCGTGTTTGTTTCAGTGGATTACGTTGATAAAAATTCTGTACTATTGCAGATTACGTTTTTTTATGCTGCTGCTGATCCACCTTTAATATGATGTACGGCCATGTTTATTATATTCACATTGCAGTTCGCGGTACTAATTTATCCAATTCTACCTCTTTATTAATATTTACTTTGGCGCTTGGCACGCGCAGCAGATAGGTCGCGATGCAGAGTCTAGTATGATTGATACACGGAACCCTCGCCAGTCTACTGCTGTTGACCGACTCCCCTCCCGTGGTGGTGTTCCGCTAGAGTGGTGGAGAGGTGTGGGGCGTAGTCCGCCATCTCCAAGAAGCATTCTGCTTCCCCAGACATCCCATCGCCGCAGCAGAAGACTAGAGGGTTTTCTACTACATCTCAACAACCCAGACCGTTCCCATCGAAGTTTGGGCCTGTATGATGATCAGCCGGTCATCATACGGATGTACATCAAAGATTGACCGATGTCGGCACAGATCAGCATGCAGCCTGATGTACCAACGCCAGATATGCGATGATGCGTCCTGAGGGTCCCATCATTACCAACACTCAACGCAGACGTCGCACACCCAGGGCAGCGTCGACCTCTGAGGGAAAATCAACGAAGTCTACTAGGACTTTCTCAACCGAGATTGTTCCAGCCGATGACCTGGACCTCTCGATGATCAGCTGATCATCATACCCGACGACGCCACAAGAAACGACCGGGGACAGCTACAACGACATCAGCAGAGATCACCATGCAGCCTGATGCCTCTACACTGATGTCGGACGATTTTCCGGTGGACCCTCCATTAACACCGCCAGATAAAGCACCGACGACCTCGCCGCAGACCATCCCAGAAGACATGATGCGACAAATTATGAACATCATGGAGGACCAATATCTGCGTAGCAGGGTCCGAGCCGCGAAGGCTCCAACGTGAGACAGCACCCCAGAGGCACCCCCCTCAGCGTAGCAGCCAGGGACGATGTCACCTTCGCGAAGGAAGTCACGGACCACCTTGACGAAGGACCTAGATGTACAGCCTTAGCGAAGGCCTTCGGCGGAAAAGGACCTAGATGTACAGCCTCGCGAAGGCGGAAAACTTAAATGTACAGCCCTTGGCGAAGGACTTCGAAGGCAGGATAGATCATCACCTTATCGCGGTTTCATCCCTAGATGTGGACTCGGACCATCAGACATCCGCGGAAGCCTTCGCGAAGGTCATATCGTCGCTTCTCCGGACCGGACGAGAGGAAGCTTCGCGAAGGCATCTTGAAGGACACCTGAATCCAGATCATCATCATCTAGAAGGACATCGAGGGACTATACAAAGAGCCCAGAAACTATCAACGTTCCCTCACAAGTCTCCGAGAAGATCAACCCATAGACAAGTTGATCATCGATATCAAGTATAAGAACTACAACGTATATTGGTTCTGTTGAATCCATGACGAGGCCGTGATGTTGGCTGGCCTAAATAGATCTAGAGCGATCAATTAGACACTTATCACCAGACTTCGTAAATACCTACTTCTGAATATGATAAGATGATCCATGCGGCCATACCAGGCAAGGCGCCGGCCGATCCCACATCCTGTTAAACACAGAGGCTGTTCCGCGAAACAAGCTCATATATATACTAATCGGGCTTTGACTTCACAGCCAGCGATGGTCGCGAAGGCTAAAGTGGCTCAAGTCTACTTCACCCAGAAGATCTAGAAGGGATACTTCGAGAACTTGGCGAAGTCTCCGGCGCTCACCGAGGAAGTCTCCTCCAAGGTTTCCATATACTAGCCACTTTCGTCATATATAGCTACTTTCGTCAGTCCGTTCAAGGCGTCGCGCATAAGTTGATTATCAACTGTATGCCAGATGCCGATCTATAAGCCTGCGCGAAGATAATTGCTCAGGCTATTTACAACACAGAACGTCGCTGTATTATTAGTCAACGCGACATTTCATAGATCTTCACAGAAATCAACTATTCCGTTATAAATTGCTAATATACAATCCCGGACGACGATCACGATTATCTACATGCGTGACTATTACGCATATCTGCAGACAATTCAATATCGAAATTGAACAGCAGCCTTGTTACAGCGAGTATAACTCTTAATCGTCAAAGTTTCTGAGAAGAAATATGTACAACAAGTTCAACGTTAATTCTACAATTATGACGATACATTCATGTATACAGTCTACAAGCTCACAACTTACAAGTTGTTTATACCCTTATATATAAGGAAGTCGGGAATTATATTCAAAACTGAAATTACTTTCACGACAACCAGGAAAATAACCTACCCAGCATAAA